AAATTCGCGAATAATATTCATTTTTGCTTAATTAATATTTCAACTATTCTTCGAAAATATTAAATACACGTATTTTACGTTTTTAATCGCTTAAATAATTATTCCAATTCAAAATATTTCTTCTCGGGACTATGAAATAAATTATTCCCAAAGTTGCGTTTAATTTTCAATAATTGTTATTGACCGTGTCCAAAGTCTTTTATTTTATATTTTTGAAAAAGAAATATATTCGATTCTGTCTTGTTCTACCCTACTGTCACCTGTACTAAATTTAATTGGCTCCTAAGTCAACTTTTCCGAAAATAAAATAGGACAAAATTCGCGAATAATATTCATTTTTGCTTAATTAATATTTCAACTATTTTTCGAAAATATTAAATACACGTATTTTACGTTTTTAATCGCGTAAATAATTATTCCAATTCAAAATGTTTCTTCTGGAGATTATAAAATAAATTATTCGCAAAGTTGCGTTTAATTTTCAATAATTGTTATTGACCGTGTCCAAAGTCTTTTATTTTATATTTTTGAAAAAGAAATATATTCGATTCTGTCTTGTTCTACCCTACTGTCACCTGTACTAAATTTAATTGGCTCCTAAGTCAACTTCTCCGAAAATAAAATAGGACAAAATTCGCGAATAATATTCATTTTTGCTTAATTAATATTTCAACTATTCTTCGAAAATATTAAATACACGTATTTTACGTTTTTATTTGCTTAAATAATTATTCCAATTCGAAATATTTCTTCTCGGGACTATGAAATAAATTATTCCCAAAGTTGCGTTTAATTTTCAATAATTGTTATTGACCGTGTCCAAAGTCTTTTATTTTATATTTTTGAAAAAGAAATATATTCGATTCTGTCTTGTTCTACCCTACTGTCACCTGTACTAAATTTAATTGGCTCCTAAGTCAACTTCTCCGAAAATAAAATAGGACAAAATTCGCGAATAATATTCATTTTTGCTTAATTAATATTTCAACTATTCTTCGAAAATATTAAATACACGTATTTTACGTTTTTATTTGCTTAAATAATTATTCCAATTCGAAATATTTCTTCTCGGGACTATAAAATAAATTATTCCCAAAGTTGCGTTTAATTTTCAGTAATTGTTATTGTGATTTTACAGAGTGTTATTACTCCTACCAGAGATATTGTGGAACGTTTTAGGAAGTTTATGGATGTTTGGGGTACACATCGAATGCAGTTACGAGCATTACACGATCACGGTAGTGCAAGCATTGATCGTCTTCGACTGGATCCTTATAGGCCTCACAATTTTTGGCCTGGCAGTGATCTTCGACCCATTAGGCTCATTAAGTGAGAAATATTTAGAAAGTTCAGAGGAACATGGCAAAGTCTTACGGATCTGGTTACGGAGATTTAAATTCCTCTGGTGGATACGTAAAGATGAGAATGCTAAAGAGGCTTTTCAACATGTCGCTGGTGAGACATAGGTACGACTGGCCTAGAAAAGTCCTGCCACAATTGAAAATGAAATGTCCAATTTTTATCACGTGTTCTTTACTCGTAAAGTTTCGATATCTCGAAGAAAATGAAAAAATTAGAAAAATTTCATTAGAAATTCTATTTTCGATTTTAATTGCTATTTACACGAGGTCAATTCTCTCTTATCTCCGCGAATGAGAAATTAATTTCAACTTCCTTGAAATTGTAATATGTAATGATGGAAGATAAAAATTAGTCCCATTAGTATTTTTCGTACAGCATATACAGTGTCCCACGAAATTAGGTTGACAGCTTGAAGAAAGTGGATCAAAATTTTATTACGTTGAATTAAATGATTTCGAATGAAATATTCCACATCTGCGTCTAAAAATAATTTATTTAAAACTGTAATTTTGCAAAATTTGTTAGAACTTTAAATAATAATTTTCTCTTCGATATCTGCTTCTAAATTCTTTATAGCCTTTTTAAGAAATGCATCAATAGGTATATAAAAGAATATAGAATATGTAATCTTTGAATTGTAAACACGATTTCACTTCCAGAACATACACGCAAATCGTGTGATTAATAAAACGTATTCGTAGTCGTTTAAATTTTACCAAAATTTTGGTTTACTTTCTACTACTTTAAAGCTATATCTCGACCCAGTTGCGGGGAACACGCTGTATGAAAATAGCTTTTTGAGCAGATATTCTCGCACTTCTGGTTATCCTCGATACCCTTATTCTATAATTATCATACAAGCATACGATTTACCTATGCAATGAACATCAGTGAAATATATCGAGTACATGAATGATAATTATATGATAATGGGAATAATTCATACTATAATAACACGTATTACTTTTTTATTTATTCTTATTTTCTTAAGAGGCAGGACTTTTTTCTCGAGGGGTTAATGTTATGCATGAAAATTAAATGTTTTCTATTTTTATTCGCAATTAACATACAAGGTACTCGTTAAAAAAATATCCAGTGTAGAATCTGACATGTTTGTTTCTAGCATTTTATTTTTCCTTGATTTCATTACCAAGAAGACTACAAATATGTAAATACAATGAAATGCATTAAAATACGCGTCTTGACACTGGAAATCTCATGATTCACCAGACTTCTTTCTTAAAGCACAGTGAAACTTTATTGGAGCTCTATTTGTTGAAATAAAATTTTAATTTGTTTCTCAAGATGAGTCAAATTGATGTTATTCGATTAGGATTTCACGATAAAATATTTTAAAAGAAGAAGAAAATATATCGAGTTATTAGTATTTATTTTTAACACTAATAATTTCTGTCTCTATTCTATCATCATCCACCGCCATTTTGTACTACACAGAAGCTGTATGCGTGACTAATACTGTTTCAAATCATACTGAAAATTATATTAAATAACCCAATGCGAATTATTTCTTCCATTAACTTCGTGTAAAAATGTTTCTTCGTTTTGAAATTAAAATTCTCTTTATATATTCCACTTTCCGGAATACTCATCCTCGTCGACATCTTCTATTCGTCAATTAACCAAATATCTAACACATAATTTCTCTACTACAGATATAGTTGCATACATGCTTCGGAAAATCACACCACACGAACGATATTTGTAATCTAGCATGAAAATAAATGATGGACCGAATTTTAATAAGCGGAAAATTACAAACGAAATATTATTTTCTAGGATTATTAACTGCTTTGTTCCGTGGAACGGATTTAGTTCCTTCAGACTTGGTCGCAGGATTTATCCTGTTAAGGATTCAACAGAAAAGGGAGGTCCACGAATTGCGTCGGCTAAATCTTCCTCAACTAGCCTGTACTTCCAGTGTGTACTGATTTCTTCTCCTTTTTAAATTTACCATGACTTTTGATTCCAGTTATTACAAATATTTTTTAGTCATTGATAGTTACTTAACATAGTCACACCTAACTTCTATTACTTTTTTGTCATTTCTTCTATTTAAAATATGCAGTCACATAAATTGCTATAGCTGTTACTCGTCTCTCCAGTGTTACGAGATATAGATATCAAAGATGACCCTAAAGATGACTTGGAGTAATTTGAAAATTGTTATTCTAGATGCATCTGTAATTTTTAAAAATACACCAAGCTGGATGTCCTTGGAGAACGCTCTTTACTATATCAAGCTTTCTATAGCCTCTTATGGATGGTTGTATTTGATGTACAAACACACTTGCACCGGCTGTTTCCACATTATTCGGAATATGACTTGTTGTACTTGTTTCCGGTAAGCCATTACACAATCTTTTCATAGCAAAAGTTTGCGTTATAATTTTCGAAGAAAATTTTCGAATATTGCTGAAAGAAACTTGCACGATTTTATGGAACACTACGAAATTTCGTGTTGATTAACCCTTTGTACTGGACGATTTTTTCGTTACAGGAAAATAATTAATAATAATAAGTAATTCGAAAACTTTCTGTCATAAAGTCGATGATAATTTTAAAACTGTAGATAAGAAATCGTATAGAAATTAAGACGTAGAATTATTTTACTTCGATATTCCACGCATCGTTGGGTAATTGTAAATTTCATATATTAATTAATATCCATCTTTAGAATCTGATTAAATGGCGACTTAGAGTCGCCTATCGAGTGCAAAGGGTTAATTTAGGGATCGGTTTGGCTGGATTGGCTAAAATAGCGCTGTTTTACTTCTTAATAAAGTACAATAAGCTTATACGTAGATTGACGGATATGAAACAAGAGGGATTTGTTATGGGCACGTTCGACTTTGACTTCTTACCGACATACTCTTACACACTCTGGGTGATGCTCTTCTTGTTCAAGTTAAATAGGATTTTCAGCTGGATTTTTAAAAGGAATTTAATGGAACAAGCACTGAATTATAAACATAGGATATACAACATAAAAATATGAAAAATATACACATTATACTATACTTTTTATTAATTTATATTTAGGATAAAATATTACATTATACTATGTCGCGTGGTATTCGTTGAAACAGTCTAAACACATTTCAGGTGATTTTGGACAATTGGAACAATAGGTCGTAGTGTTTTTACATTTTTCGTAATTGTCTGCCAATATGTTTACGAGTGGTAAAACTTCACCAAGTCTGCTACTCTGTTCTATCGTTTGGTTATTTGCGAAATGCAAGTTTGCTGATAGTAATTCAAAACGATTACAAGAAATGGAAAATTGTAAATAGGGTCCGTTGACCAACATCTAACGAGCGGTGTCTGTACTAGACGCATCCAAATCGTCAGTCCGATAACGTTCTGGCGCTCAGACAGTAGGATTTGGGCCCCGCGAGAAACTCAACCGAATCGCGTTGGGCGACGAACGTGTTAAGAACTCTTAAAGACTGAAGACTGTTAAAGATTATAGACTATTCATGACTGACGACTGTGTAAACTGGAGCTACCCGCACCCTTGCACCCTTATTTAAAACATTCATTCTGTCCTTTTCCATACCCAGGCTTTCCTTTCCAGTCATGCCCCTTTCCCACGCAACCTCCGTGGGCCAGGTACTTCGATCACTCTGGACGCATCCCTAAACTTTCGCTGGACTCTACCATAAACATTCTTTGCAGTTAATTCGCTTGCACGCGGTCACTTCCATCCTAAGCCCAACACACACTTGGCATTCTTTCAGGGCCGTACTTATTCCAATCCTATATTAATTGATTTCAATTACAGGAGGAAACGCAATCCGATCATCGGGGATAATTGTTGCCAGTGTTACATGGCCGGTGTGAAATCATTAATGAATATAGCCATGGATGACGTTCTATATGCATCGTTCGTCAATCACCTGTGCGAGGTATCCTTGCGATCTGGTATTCGAATCGTGCAAATAATCATTACCTGTCTATGATGAATATCTGTAAAATTTTTTCAGGTACCGTTCTGTGTGTTAGTGAATCACAACAAAGGCAACATTGATATTGCAATACGAGGTACTCTGTCGTTACGTGATATCTTCACCGACGTTGTCGCGGGTGCAGATATTTTTGAGTGCGAAGGCATTCCAGCAGGCTCTCAGGTAGAGATAATTAAATATGGAACTTGGCAAGAATTTTTTGATTTACTATTAGAAAGTAGTATTTACGAGGAAGCTTGTTAAATTAGTATATTTTCTCGAATAAATTGTACACAGTGATAAACTGTTACGTCCACAGGCACATAAAGGCATGATAATGGTAGCTCGAGTGGTTTTGAAGCACTTAGATGATAACAAAGTTTTGGAACAAGCATTTAATACGTACCCTCATTACTCTTTAATGATAACAGGTAAATAGAATTATTAGTCAATCTTTCGGCACATATATATCGTCTGCATATATGGTACATTGAGATTAGTCTTCTTAATATTTGTATTGTGTTTAATTATATTTTATTTGTATTCGATATATATTGAACGCGAAGAATCGTTTTGTATGTAAATTTAAAAAGACCATGTTTTACCGATAAGGCTTTATATATCTTTGAGAAAATTTTTTAACAATTTCATGTAAGGAAATATGTACAGGTCACAGTCTAGGTGCTGGTGTAGGCATCCTTCTAGGCTTTCTGTTACGTCCACGTTATCCATCTGTGAAAGTTTATGCATTCGCTACACCAGGTATATATTTCTTGAAGATTATATAACTTTATCCACGTGTCTAGTTTTGTAATTATTTATTTAGAAAAAATCTTAATTAGAAAAAAATTGGGTTCTTTTAGCTGGTCTTCTATCGAGAGAACTTGTGAAGTTAACAGAAGATTTCGTTTTAACGATAGGGGTTGAAGATGACATGGTGATGAGGATGAGTATTCATAGCACAGAAAATTTAAGAACTAGTTTACTTGTAACCCTTCATGCTTGTCAATTACCCAAAGTATGATTATTATATTTTTAAATATTTCACTAAAGCAATTACATTTCATTGCTATCGAATTACATTTATAATGTATATATTTTTTAAAACATTTTGGATAAAAAGTTGATGTTCTGCTTAGATAGTGCTTAATAGCTGATAATTAATAGGTCAAATAATTAGTAATTAGAAAAAATTTAGAAATATATTTGTAACATTGATTGAAATTAAATCATTTATGCGAATTTCAAATATTTCTAAATGTTTATAATGTAATATATGTTATCTTTCCAGTATAGAGTAGTGTTAAATGGATTAGGCTACATATTATTTGGTATTCCCGAAAAAGATCTTACCAAAACGTGGACTACCTGTAGTTTAATTACCTCTACATCAGGAGAATCACCTTTGCTCGTTAAACAAGACCTAAATACGATAGAGGTACATACATGGTGGTATACATTAAATTATTCATTTTTTTAATGAAAAAATTAGAACAAGGTGCATAAAACCTAAAAGATTTGCATTACAGGAAAATAAGTTATACGAAGAAGATGTCACAAAGAGGAGGTTTTCTAGAGTAAAATTATATACAGGTGGTAGAATACTTCACATACGCAGATGCAAGCCAGAAAAATCAGAAAAGAAAAGGTTTACTACTTATTTTATCTGTTGTTAATTATTCAGTTTTTTCCTTATAAATATATTTTGTATCTTATTATTATTATATTATTACTTATCTGTAATTATACGAAAAATTGAAAAATATTTTACAAAATACATATAAACTACATGTAATATTTTTTCTTGTAGCAAAAGACAAAAAATAAGTGAAAAGAATTTCGAGATGCGATGGGCACAGGCAGAAGAATTTACAGAATTGTCTGTAATGCCACGGATGTTACTGGACCATTTACCAGAGAATATAGAAAAAGTACTTATCAGATTGATAGAGCAACAGAATAATTTGCCATATTATTTTGACCCTTGATAATAATAAAATGGAAGGCAAATTGTATCATTATTGTATTATATTTTTAACGGACTTGTACAATTTGTTATAAATAATTTCTGTATTTTGATACGGAAAAATGCAAGTACTTTTATACTATTATAATATAAGTGCCTTTAAAGTGTACCTTAAAAAAACATTATTATTTGTACAAAACTCAGGATAACGACAAAATAAATATTGCATTTAATTATTATTCGTCTTTACTTTATTATAATAATTATAAGATGCAACAGTTTCATAAAATATTGTAACTTCTATGAATATTATTATTTTTCATTAAATAAAAATTTTCAGTAATATGCTGTTAAAACTTAATATTTACAAAAATATATTTCATTTATAAATAAAACAATATTACATATTAAAAGAATTTTGTAAAAAATTTTGTAAAAATATTCTTGTAAAATTAAAAATTTTATATAATAACAAGATTTTTTTAATCTTTTATCTAAGACTTTTCAGACTTAATAATTTAAAATTTGTTCGAGAAGATTTAAGCACATAAAAGTAAGCTCGAAAACTTTACAGTATATTTTACAATTGTTAACAAATATTTCAAACTATAGGAAATATAAGGGCTTTAAAGTTTTATTAGTTATACATAATTTTTAATAATTTCTAAATTTTAAATATTTCAATTTTTCGATTCATCGAAACACATTCATCGATAGTATGAGTCGATAATATAGATTTTCGTAAGGTTATCCGGCCACATGTAGTAAGAAAGCGCATGGGGAAATACTTAATAATACGATATTTATATAGTGATACAAGTTCAAAATGTAAACAGATCTATGACTTGAAATTGTTAAAAGTATTATTACGTTAGAAAGTCATAAATATAACTCTAAAAGTAAGTACTGTTCAGAGTTTCTGTTATTTTGTATTATAACCTCCTTATTTTTCTTCATACATGTGCTTGACAGTTTTAATAAATATTATAAATATTATACGGCGCTTTTTAATGATCTTAATATTAATATAAAATATATACAAATTTATTATGTTAGAGTAATATTTGAAAAAAATCATTTTAAAATAGATATATAATATTTTTTTAACAGATGTCAGTTATATCCTCAAGAGTTAGTAGTGTTTCATCAATTTTAAAGACTCCTGGAATTAGATCACAACTTATTAGACAATCTAATAGAGTATACTTCAAACTTCCAAAAGATCTTAAAGGTATTATCTATAATTTTGAAGCGGGCAATGGAACAAAAGATTATGAAGATTTAATATGTCTTTTGCGAGATTCAAATATAAAGGTATATATTGCTATAATTATCCTTAAAATAATGTTTATTACCTTAGTTTTATTTAGTTCAAAATAATTTAACATTTCTAATTTGTTTCCTATTATCTTTTATTTTAGGATGCAGATTTAGTAGAATTTTTATCAAACGTAAGGCAGTGTATATCATTACTTGGTCCTGTCCATAAAGTATTTATAGAAACACTTTTACAAATAAAGTGGACAAATCGTTCATTAGATGTAATATCTGCTTACAAAGCATTTATTGAAGATTTAATTTGTATGCAAATTCATTATGCTAAAAATGTAATAGACAGTTTAATTGAACAATTTAAACCAGGTATATTTAAAAGTGTAATAATTATCTAAGTGCTTTTAACGGATGGATTTTTAATAAAAATTTGTAATTTCTATAGATGAAAGTGATGATCCTGAATGGAAAAATGATGGATGCAAAGAAGAAGATGTTCAAAGGTTAAACCATATACATAATACTCTTCAAAAGATTTTAAAAGTTGTACCAATGTAAGGCTTTAATGATATATAATAATATAATTATATATAATTATAAATAAAACTTTAACAAATATTGATTTATATAAATATTTGTTTTAGGTCCAGCAAACTTTTATTACAATCCCTTAGAGCAAGGTTTCCATATATTATTCATGGAACTCGTACACATGAAATATATGTTTATGCATTAATTCAAATATTTGAATATGCACCACAGTTGCGATCCGATGTTCTATCTCTAATTATTAATAGGTAATATATCACTAAAATTTAGTTGTATCATTTTTGGTTAGAAAATGAACTTGTTGTTCTAAGGTACTTATGTTTCTAATAGGTTAATGGTATTAGATGTAAATATACCACGTTTAGAGATAGATAATGAAGAAGACCTAATGGATGATAGTAGTGAATGTGACAGTACACTTGGTAATGAGAATAATGTTGTTGAAGAAAATAATATAACAGAAACAGATAAAATACATCCAATAGCTCATAAATTGGATGTGTGTATGGAACTGATTCTGAAATACATGCATAACTCCTGTTTTATTAATGGAGTTTTGCAAGTAGAATGTTTGAAAAGTCTCTATTTTGATGTATTGCAAATATTTGAAACAGTAATATTACCTACTCATGCAAGTCAATATGTGCAGTATATTATGTTCTATATTTGTAGTTTTAAAACAGCTGTTGTGGAGGCTTTTGTAGATTGGTTATGGCGTAAGGCATCCGATCCTAACGTACCTTCTATTATACGACAGTCATCTGTGGCATACATTGCTAGTTTGCTGGTTACAGCAACATTTGTTACAGCTGGGTATATCAACTTAACATTAAATGTATCATAAAAAATGTTTATATGTATATTTTTTATGTATTTTATTCTTATTAGGTTGGTTAAAACAGTACAGTTTAGAATATCTAAATGGATACATGACTACATCAATATGCAAGATCATTCAAATTACATAGAAGACGAAAATAAAGAACATACTGTATTTTATTCTATTTGTCAAGCATTATTCCTTATAATTACTAAAAGACATAATGATTATCCTGATTCGAAGAAGTGTAAGTATATTATTTTCATTAAACAATATACATATTTTCAGTTTATTTAAAGTTCAATACAATTATTTGCATATTTGTTTTCAGATATGTTATATTTACAAGAGTTGGATTTGGCAAAGATTATAACGTGTAAATTAAATCCATTGAAAGCTTGTCATCCTGAAATTGCGCATAATTTTGCAGAAATTACACGAATGTATCAATTAGCATATTGTTACACTATTATCGAAAATAATACACGAAATCAACTTCCTCTTTTTGATAGTAAAAGAGGAACAACATCTATAGTTGAAAATTTTTTCCCATTTAGTTCTTATATGTTACAACGAAGTGAACACAGAATAAATCCTTTATTGCGTGACAACGTTAATACTAGCAAACATAGAACAACTATTAAATATAAAGAAGATATTGAATATATGACTGAATATTAGGCTTAACTTTTCAAATCAATACTGAGTATATTTTAATCTACTCTGAAGTTATTTGTAATCATCTTTTTAAATAAATTAAATATTTATAACAATATTTTTTTTTGTTTTGAGTCAGATGATTGAAAATATATTTGTGCAATAAACCCTGCTATCTTGTACAATATGTAGAATTTTAACCCAATAAAATAAATTTATTATTATGTTCCTAAGTTTTAAATATCGACATGTAAAAATTTATAATAATTATAACAAATAAATTATAATACGTATCCAACTTTTAATTACATTTATATAAATCTTGATACATTTTACATTACACATTGTATATATAAACATTTCATAAATATATTAGTTTATATGCTTTGAATTTTGATACATTTTTCTTGTGGTATTTTTATAATAATTAGTTTGAAAATTTATGAATAGATAAATCATGGTATTATAACATATTCTTTTTATTTCAAAAGTTTAAGAAATTTTTGTTAGCAAAATTTGAAGACTATATCATTAGCTATCTTCATTATTAATATTATTTATGTGTGAGAATCGAGTAGAATTCTAACAATATAACAAATGTTCATTAATTAATAAACAGCAGTTAAGCACATACTGTGTTGCCATTTCATAAAAACTAATCGTTATGATATACCAAATTTCGCGCCGTTAATGTCTTAGAAAACCGGAGCCGGAAACTCTACTTCAGTGACGCAGTGGCGTAATCTTTTGCGGTCTATCGGTTGCTTTGCGATTCTTTCACGTAAACGGTAACGTAAAATGGCGAATTGGAATTGTTATTTACTTACGCGAAGTATAACGAAATAACTAGAATACAATCCAAGGAATATTTATTACTGCTGAATTCGGAATTGTATATTTACTTCATCTTGCACAAACGACTGTAAGTATCACGGTTGTCAATTTAATAAAAAATTTATAACGTGTGCACTAGACGTCGGTTCATATTCAAGTCGGTAATTCTGCATGTTTTTCACATGAAATTGACAATAAAGCCGCTTTATAAAATAGCAAAATGTAAACGTTCTAATTGATATTTCATTACAATTTTTGCTTAAGATAGTTGAAATTCTAAAATAAGGTTATGATAAAATTCTCGAATAGAACTATCATCATTTACCTTGCACGTTTCAATGTTGAATTACAAATATATTTTATACTATGTGTCAATATGCATAATGCACGTGTTTTTAGTTTTATTTTATAATTTTTATTTCTTCACTGATATATGAAATCCAGATCGATTTCTTTCTTCGTCTTCTAGGTTATGACTGTGTGAAATTTAAATATTTCTCTTATTCGAATTGTTTGAAACGTTGATCTTGTGTCTGCAAATATTAAACCAATAATTAGAACTAATAATAAAGATAACTTGCATATGTTCCATCTTATTTCGTATTTACATATCATACTACAACATATTACTTTATTTATTACTTTATATCACATGTATTATAAAATTTCAATAAGTCAACAAATTTTCTAGTTTCAACTGTGTAATATATTCCTTGTATTTAAATTTATTTACTGTTTATGGAAGTTATGAATTTAATATATATATACATATATATATATTTTTTTTTCATTTTATTCAATTATAGTCCATAAAATTATTAATTACTTAAATAGAAATAATAATAAAATATTGTTAAAGATAAATTTTTATTGCAGTGTTGTTACATTCTATAAACAATTTTCCTTCTTTGTCTTTTTTCCTATAATTTTTAATATGTAATTATATCTATTTAATTTTATATATACAAATTCTTAAGTATAAACTTTATACTCATTTATTCTGTGAATTATTAAAATATCTTAATTAAAATTGATTCTGTATGACAAAGTAAAAGATAATTTTATGGATAAACTTTATCTTGTTATTAATATACTACTTTAATTATTTATGTTTTCAAATGTAGAGTATATTAAATTTGTGTAAACAATAAGTATATATAATTGCTTTATGTTAACAAAGATATATAAAATTCTAGAAAATGTTACAAAAATGACATGAAAGTGAAATCAATCATATAATTAAGTCTTATTAGTTATTCTTATTGAAATATAATGAATTCATTGCATTTTAATAATATAGAAATTTTGTAGTGTTTTCTTCTTTTATTAGTAAACAGATTATAGAGTTTACCAATGTCACATTTTTAATAATGTATTATTTACATCTTCAATAAGCTATTGCTATTTATATGAGAATACGTATTACATATTTAGTAATGGAACGTATCTCATAATATGAAATAAAGTAAAGGTAAATACATTATTAAATTTCTTAAACATTGCATTAACAAAATAAATTGTTATTTATTACTTACATAATTTTGTCCTTATTAAAGTTTTGGTATTTAGATAATTTTTAAATCATGAAAATTCTCTTTAAAACTTTGCATGTTATTATAATTTAGAAAAATACTTTTCTTTATAAAAATTACCAGAATATCATTATTATTATTATTATTCAAAAGTTTTTGTCAAAAAATGTAAATCTTTGAAGCACATGTTGTACAACAATTTTCAAATATTTTAATTATGCATAAAATATAACAAAAATTTATGTTTCAATATAATTTTCAATTGTAATGAGATTTAGGGTTAATCTTATGCAATATTTAAACAATTGTCTATAGGAGACTACTTAAGAAGTTCAACCTTTTACTTTGTGTCCATTTATAAATAAAATAAGCTATTTTTATTATGCTTTTTACATTTCCTAATATTACATTTCGTGGTTTAATAAGACCTTATTTTAATTTCTCAGATAAATTTATTTTAAACACTTACAATAATATACATGAAATGACATGAAAAATTTTATACAATAACTATAAAATATTAATTGGTTTATAGAAATATTATTGCCATTTGGTTTAGAAATAAATTATATTTTTGCAAATATGTGATTTTCATATGATATAATTATTTTTTCATTTTAGATTTGTATAAAGATTTAATTAATTAAATATCTACCTCAAGAAACACAGAGTTACAAAACTATTAAATTATATTAATTTAATGTATTTTACTAGCTCAATTCATTTTAGTTTTTAAGATTTCTTTGTATATTTTTGTCTTCCTTTTTTCTATAAGACAAAATAGATTTTAATTTATGTAAACACATATTAGAAAAACACAAGTAATCTTAAATTACTTTTAATAGGTTTTATTGTGCAGATACTAATTCATCGTTCTACAGATATGATATTGATGGACTGGTGTAATTCGGTGTAGTAGTGATATTGATCGATTTGATCTGCATTGATTGACAAAAGATCATATTTGCAAGCATTTAAGTCTTGAATACTATGGCACAGTATTATAATTTTGTGACCAATGCCAGTGGTACATTAACACTTGAAGAAGTACAGAGAATTTGCTCTGTAGAGGGACAAAGTGTACAATTAGTTGTTGAAGACATAAATAATGGTGGTAATGGTTCTCAGCAATTTTTGACTTATACCACTGCACCACAAAACAGCGGGCAAGCAATATTTTCACAGCAAATTAATTTAGGGAGTCAAATTTCTACAACGCAATTGGATCAAGGGTAATTTGTGCGCATGCATTTTAATTATCCAAATATTGAAGTAGAACTGTGGTATCTTACTTTCAGTTTTGTATATATATATATATATTTATACTTATATACATACATATATGCATTTGTGTGTGTGTATGTGTGTATATGTATATGTATATACATACATATGTGTAATATATACATACATTGATATACACATAGGAATATGAAAAATATTAGATACTTGAGGAAAGACAAAGGGGTATTGGTATGTGGTGCTGATTATAAAAAGTAAATATCAATTATTCAGCATGTTATAGAGTATAAAAAATATTTTTTTATATGTTTTTTGCATTGTGAAAATATATTTTACAGTATGTAATATGATTGCAATGATATAACACTTTAAATATTTTTATTGTACACTATTTTGTAAACAGATATAATTTCATGTATATAATGTGTTTAGAATAAAGTTAAATTCTGGCAGTTTATTAGTTTATAATCATAACAGACAATTATGTCTATCTCTACATATTATATAGAAACATAATACATTAATAAAAACTTCTTAAGGTAGTCTTCTAATCACATGTGTAGAAACATTATATATTTAAAGAGCCAAAAATCTGCTTTTACTAATAAAATTATTAAGAATAATAGTGCTTTATTTATTTGTTACACTGAAAAATAGATTTGTAATATATTACTTCAATATATTGTACACGTGTGCCTCAAAGAAGTCTTTTATAATTAACAAGTTACCTAATTAATTAAATCATGAAACATTGTATTTGAATAATTTAACTCATTATAGCAAACATGTGAACATGTGAAATCTGGGCATATCGTGTGAGTTCCATTATTCATTTTATAAAGTAAGTTAAAAGAAGCAAATGTAAGTGTAACTATTTCATTCATTCATTAAATGAGTATTGAATGCATTAATAATTCACTAAAGTTATATAATGTCATTCAATTGTAATTCTATAACATAATAGGAATATATTGTTATGAAAGAAATGGACCACTTTTAAATGTGAAGTATAACATACACTAATAAATCAGACATTTGAAAGTAACTAGACATAAATAAAGAATGTATGTAATACAATATAATAACATGCTTTTGAATTTATTTTATTAAATAGTAATGTATATTTATTTTTTACGTGTACATAAAATATATTAATTCTTTTATGTTTTTAGATTTATTTTCATTAAATTGTTTTAACAATTTATACATACCCATGAATTTTTTCAGTTTTATCACTAGTTGTTCATACAATAATACGTCCAAACTTTACATTATATATCTTAAAAAATTTGTATGTAACAAGTTATAATGCAAGTATATTAAAAAGCATATTTTATTTATATAAATTCATGTAAAATTATTTATATTCAAATTTCGCAAACATTAACAAGTGAAAAATTTTGTATATAAAATGAAAAAGTCAGTTATATTTTATGGAATGGAATTAGAAATATACCAATGCACCCTTTTTTCCTCATGCCTCTCATTTATAAATATAATATACTCCATAAACTAATTTAACTGTTACATATGTAATTGATTTGTTATAGTTTTCATAATTCAGGATTTCATAAAACTACTATTACGTTATTAATAAAGCATATTTTTAATTAATATTTATTTATGTTATACAACAGAAGTTCTAAAAACAATACATTTAGTTAATGTAGAAATGTATATTAATGAATTATTCAGAAAGTTGTTTGCACTCCTTTGTTGGAATATTTCTTATTTATTGTTTTTTTATATTTTAACTTATTGACATTATATATTTTTACTTTCAGACAAAACGTTTTTATAATCAAAACAAATACAAATGAATTAGCTTCATCTCAAAGTGTATTGAAAACTACAACGGTGAATGATAATACTTTAGGTGGGAACTTTCTAAACATTGTGGATAATAAAGGTAAATTTGATAAAATGTTATAATCTTTGTAGTATATTAAATTAAATATAAAGGAATTCTACTGTGCAAAACATTAACTTTTTTATTGTAATCAAGGAGTAAAGTAATTGATAAGAACATTATTCTTTTTATTTAGGTTCTAAAACATTTATAGGTTGTAATAATGATGGACAACAACTACAATGGATAAAAATGCAAGAAAATAGTATTAGTCTAAATGCAGTTTCAAAACAAGGTGCATTGATATCAGAGAAAACACAAACTGTCAATTTAAATGAAAATCAAAATAATACTTCTTCACAAGTAAATATAAATAATTAATTCTATTTCGTAAATTATTAAATCGAATAACATTTATATATATTTTTAGAATCTTTTACATGGACCTTGTGAATTATTGTCACCAAATATTGAACCTGTAAAAAGAAAACCACTTAGATCCTATCAAAATAGAAGTCGAGTTCCAACAGGTAGTGTACAAATAGAAACATCATCCATTGATAGGGTGAATGTAACAAATAACATTGGAACTCAAATACCAAACGTTAATGCGTCTAATATTAGAGCAACAACACCTTCATTTTGTAATAAAGCAATTAGTCCCATTGGACAGAATGTGACACAAATTTCTCCACAAATACATACTCCTTTGAACACTGTTCACGTTAGACCTCAAGCTCCTGTCTTGCAAAAAAATTCTTTAAAAGTGCAACAGCCTAAAATGGAACAAACAAGATTAAAACAAATGCAAAATCAAAGACAAGTGCAAACTGATCAAAGATTGCAAGGAAATAATAAGCAACGATTATCAAATATTACACCACAATTAATGCAAAGTTCATTACATGCTACACGACAACAAACTGCAAATTCAATACAGCAAAAGCAAATGTCATCATCATCACAATTACAATTTCAAAAACAAATTACAACACAAAAATCTCAATACGAACAATCACCACTTTCAACTCCATCTCAAAATGTACGCAATGCTATGGATGTTGAATCTCCGGAATCTCCACCACTCTGTGAAAGAGGTCCAACAAATCAGCAAAGCTTTTCATCACAAACTGATTCAGAAAATAGTGCAGCTGAAAGTGTTGCTTTCCTTGAAAAAGTTATTCATAATCCAACAAATACTAAAGTTCAACATCAAATACAAGGAAATACTGCAAAAATGTTAGTTATGCTTTCTAATGGTGAACAGAGATTAATTACATTTGATATACCCAATGATGATTGTACAGTTCAAGATTTACTAGAACAGGTATTTCAATACTTATAAGAAATTGTATGACAATTATTAGTTAACTCGATTAAAAATGATTTTGTATTTTTAGGCAAATATCGTATTTTGTGGAAAAACAAGTGTATCTTTAGTTTCTGATCCTACTCTGGGTATAAATTATATTGTAGAAGCTGGACCTGGTGCAGTTGCATCACATGACATGAGTGAAAACGATGGCCCTCAGGATAATGCAAATAGTAATTTAGATAATTCTCATAGGTGAATTTTTAAATATGTTTTTATTTAAAATTTACATGTAATCATAAAATATACTTAAATGTATCATTGAACATTACAGTTCACCGGATGAGAATAGTAATCCTGTGCAACAAAATGAAGTAAGTTATAATTTATTTATTTCTGTATTGATTTGTGATAATCTGTGATAATGTAAGAAACATTTATTTATTCAATTATTTACATTCTTTTTTTGATTTGGAATAATAAGAATTTAAAATTTCAATAATTTATGTTGTAAACATGTATATATGTATATATGTATATATATATATATAATGAATTAGAATTATGCTGCAATCGTAAAAAGTTGAACTCTGTTTTGTATTTAATGTATTTTTATATTTTGTATTTATTATCTTTAATGTTTTACAGGAACCTATATATATTGAGGGGATGTTGGCTGTTTGTTCTCATTGTGGCATTAGTTCTATTGATTTTAATCGGTGTTTAAGATGTAAAAGAAAATTACCAAAAGACGTAAAATCCATACCAATGACAATGGGTATGCAAGAAAAAAAAGAAACAATGCTATCTGTTGATGTAAGTATTATGTAATTATACAAAAGTTTAAAAAATTTTAAATAAAATATGTTAAAAATTGGTAGTGTCAGCATTGCAGTATAATATATTTAATCTAAAGAAAATTTTAATATATATCATATAAATGATTTTATAATATATATTTTTATGTTTATATCATTATATTAATCTTTTTCAGACATTTTACAAGAAAAACAACGAACGCAATTCGTCAGCAAAATTAGAAAAATTAGAGCGAGATGGGTCTGTGTATAAACGAGGAAGGGGAAGAGGAAGGGGTATGTCAAGAGCAAGGCCTATACATAAGGAGCCAGGTAGAAAAAAACAATTTTTTAATTTTATGTAAAATTGTAATATTATCTTGTGTAAGTTTATATACTAGATATACAGGGTAGAAAATCTAAAACGGTATACCTGAATATCTTTGTTATATTTGAATACAGCAGAAAGTAAAAGTAATGAAACAGCTCAATTTTCAAAAGGGAAATATGATAGTGGAAGGATTATTTTTCTCAAGGTCATCAATATTTTCTTAAATGGAACCATATGTTTTGTTTAATGCTTGAACTAAAGAGAAATTAAAGACAAAACCAATGGTATGTATTTACATTCTGTTCGCCTAACACATTGCGAGATATTTGATGTGAAAGATACATAAAAATAGATGTTTGGGAAATGTTTGTTTGGTTGTTCCCTTAACTTGGCTCCTTCATATATATATGACACATTATTCGAATATTTCGAAAATAATTAATAAAAAAAATTATATTACATGATTATAAAAAAATTCATGTACAAGATCATGATGTAACATTATTTAATTACTTTTAAAAACCTATTAAATAATTAACGTAATGTTGGGATAATAACTTTAAAATTAATAATAATGTAATTTATATTAAATATTTTTATATGTCATTTTCTTTTCTTTTTTTTCTTTTTTTGCAATATAGATAGTTTTTTACAGATATTATCTTCACAGTATTCAAAGAGATAATCTGAATGCCTAAAAATTGAATAACGTGCATTATATTTCCGAATTCGTTCTTTTTTTAAATCATTTGAATTTCCTTGCTTGCACCTTCACATTTTTTTAAGCTCTAAATTTGTTTTACGTCTTTTGTATCATATATTTCGCTATGTGTCTAAATATATAAATTATTAATTTTGTATCTTTTAATTAACAATTAAAAATATAAAAAAAAAAAACATCGGACAAGTGACCTTGAGAAAAATAATGTTTATATTATCGTATTTTTTGTTTTAAATCGAATAAGTTTCATTACAATAATTATTTAAAATGTTCAATGGAGATTTTCAAGTGAATTGATTTAAATGTTTTGTGGCATATATCGATACTTCAGACATGATATTTCTTATTCAGAATGTTTGACAATATCGTCGGATGAGGAAGAAGAAGGCAAAAATAAACGATCTGAAGGCTCTAATAATAATGTATTTTCAAATGACGGAGGTAATGATTTTACCGAAGAAATGGAGACGATTCTTGAGAAAGAACCAATAATCACAAATAATTCTGTTTCTAACACAAGTTCTGATTATACTATGGAAAGTGAAGATATAAAAGGTACCCTTTAGGATATATTCTTTATTTTATGAATACATATATTATAATTTCTTTAGAATATGTTATTCCAATTTATAAATATTTACTTGTAGTATAACGCGTGGCAAATATTAATTAATTATATATAAAATAGAAGGAAATGAACATAAATATTTTTCAGATAATGCTGTTCAATCTCCACATACTTCTTTATTGTGTCGAACAGTAAGGATAGGTTCTTATAAATATATTCCTCGGGAGAGAGTAGTAATCTCGCAAAACGGAGTAAGATTTGGTGTTCCTTTATTGGAAGATGGTAATTACTGTAGCAATTATTATATTTATAATAATAAACGATAATATATGTTAATGTAATTATCTTGATGAATATTTACTATATATGAACATTTGCATTTGTTACAGATAAAACCTTTGTAACATTAGAAGTTAAGATTCAAGATATAGTAAAAGTACTAATTCATTTTGGTAAAGCAATGCCAGTACTATTCTTTTATACCTCTACTAATACTGGAGCTATGATTCGTGAATTATTAGGAATGCAGGACCCAAAAGGACCATATTATGATCCTGCTGGGAAAGGTATTAATTTTAAAATATTTTGTAGTTCACATCATAAATGAAATAAAAAAATGATTTTTTTCTGTGTAGATCATACGCATAAACGAATAACTTTACTGCCAGAGAAATTATCAGAAGAATCAAAAGTTGTGCTAAAAACTGTGTTTGCACGAAGACGTTTATTAGAAGAATTGAGCTCGAAGGAAGCAAATGATATTCTTGTTCGAGCATCGCCGAAAGATGTATGTAATGTATATTGATAATAAGTGTTAGAAGTTATTATTTCAAATATTTTAAATGTGATTTATCCTTTCTTTTTGCAGAGTGTACAAAATCAAAGTTTATCGAAGAGAGAAGTCCAAACAGGCACAACAACTAATTCAAATGCCAATGGCGGCATACAAACGTAATTATAAAATTTGAAATTTCATATTTATACTATAAATTTGTATAATGTAAAAATTTATTATTTACAGAATAACCGTGTATCCACCACCACCTGCAAAAGGTGGTATAGCTATTAATACTGAAGATTATTTATGTCTTGGAGAAGATCAGTTTTTGAACGATGTAATTATAGACTTTTATCTGAAATATCTAACATTGGAAGTCTTGTCTGAATCTGACCAACATAGAACACATGTGTTTAGTTCGTATTTCTATAAGCGATTGACAAGCCCACATGCTCAAGCAGTCGAAAGTAATGTACCTCTGTCACCTGCTGCCAAGAGACACGCGAGAGTACAAAAGTGGACAAAAAATGTCAATATATTTGAGAAAGATTTTATTATAATTCCCATAAATGAGCAGTAAGTGCTTATTTAATGTTTGACCCTCATTTTTTCTTTGAATTTGATATAAAATATTTTCAATTAATATTTATTATGTATAAAATTATTTTAGTGCTCATTGGTTTTTGGCTATTATTTGTTTTCCTGGATTGGTCGGGAAAGTTTTTACACAGAGTAAACGGTCTGATGAAAATGACGTTCGAAAGACTGTACAAAGAAGTAAAAAATTAAAAGAAGTAAAACTTCAAGCTGTTACAATTGGAAGTACGACTCTTAAGCCAGTGACAACTACTGTAACTATAGATCAAGGTGATGATGGTTCAGAAAGAGATGAAGCTGAAGGTGATGATGAAGAAATGGAAATGGATAGCGAAGACGACGTAAGTTTGTTCTAAACTAATATTTTACATTCAGAATGCGATTTATGAAAATATAGGAGTATGCATTATTGATATTTTTTAACGTAGGATGAAACAGAAACTACAGAAAACAAAAGTCTGTCGCCAAAAACGGAACAAAATGTGCCACAGGAGAAAGATACTGTCAAAATGTATGTGTTTGTACATAAAGTAATACATAAAAAGTGATACTAAATGAACTATTATGTCCCATATATAATACTTGATTTGTTTATATTTTCATTTTATTTATTATAGACCTTGCATTTTAATATTTGATTCCCTTGCGGGAGCAAGTAGAGCACGTGTAGTAGCTACATTAAGAGATTACTTAAGTTGTGAGTATGTAGCAAAAATGGGAAGTGAAAAAGTATTTTCGAAAGATACTATTAAAGGAGCATCATTGAAAGTTCCTCAGCAATCAAATTTCACTGATTGCGGATTGTACGTATTACAATATGTAGAAAGCTTCTTTAAAGTAAGTTCACTCTTAAGTTTATATCCATATATGTATAATAATAATGATACAAGTGGTAAAATTACTACATAAGATGACGAAGTTAAAAATTTTATAATGATAAATTTTTATTTCAGAATCCCATTAAAGATTATACTTTGCCAATAAAGACATTGAAAAACTGGTTTGAAGAAATAGTAGTAACTAGGAAAAGGGAAGAATTATCAAAGCTGTTGATTAAGTTAATGGATGCAACCAAAGGAGATAAAATCATAACAATACCTACTGTAAACTTTCCTACACAAGATGGTAAATTAAAAGCTAAGGCTGAAAATCATGTTGACATAAAATCTATGAAAACAGATGTAGAAGATAAGAAAAAGCCTACATTAGATGGGGAGAATCGTATTAGTAATAATATGCCAAATCAAACAGAAAGTACTGAACCAACTACTGACATAATTAATAGAACTACATACCAGATCATTCCGTACTCTCCATGTACAAGTTCTAGCTCGTCTGAAAGCAATTCAACAGAGATGTTAACTGAACCTAAAACTCTTCATCCGAGGTAAATTAAAAATTTTCTCATTTCATAAAATTAACAAACATTATTAGGTTGAAAAGTGTATGCTTTTGGAAATTTACTACTGGAACTATCAATCTATAATGAGTAACTAAATACATCATATACAAATTATAATAATCGGAGTAGTATAACGAAGATAAATAGTTACGTATAATTACGTTAGTATCTTAAATAGGTGCCACCTTTAATCTTATCAAAAGCAGCTATATCTTTTCAAAAATTTTAGAAATAAAATGTCTGGAACAAATTATTTTGATTATTTTGGTCGATCTAGTGCAAAGTAAGAAAATATTACTTAAGTCGTTAAACAATTTGACTTCGTTTTCAACTTGATTGCAGTTATTCGATATTAATTTGTTGATCACTTTCTAAATTCTTTTTGTCTTCTTAATTGATAAATGAACTATCAATAAGTTACTTCTGTGAATAGGTACCAACTTCTAAAAGCCACAATGTTAACTCCAATAATATCGTTATTTTATTTCCACAACTCATAGGAAACATAAAAATGGATAATTGCATTAAAATAAGCTTCTTAGTTTCTAATATTAATTAACAAAAATCAATATTTAAATTTATATTTCGATAACGAAGTCACATGAAACTATAGTCTATAAACATTTTTTTTCTCAAAACAACGTCCTATGTTAAATAAGTTATGAAAAATCTTGCTTATATAAAATAAGAGATTATACTTCTGAGGAACAACTATTTTCAATTAATTTTTATTTTAGATCTTCAAGCGAAACGATGTCCTACTTAAAATCGAAACGGATTTCCAGGTTAATCTTAAAAGCAGAGAATCAAGATGACTCTCAAATGGCCAAAAAGCACAAAGGAGAGTCTTTTGATTCTTGTAAATAAATGTTACTTTTTTTTTATAATGATAAAGTTAGCCCACATTCATAAACAGACATGGAATCATTTACCTATGTAATAAATGTAGTTAATACTTCATAAAATGAATAAAAACATCCAATCATAACTGTATACGTTGAAATTTTTATTTGTTTTTATTATCACAATTGTAACCATTATCACAAACAAAAGTTTCTGATAAAAAATTCATTCATTTGCATTTTTAGGTATATTTTCGTAACCATAACGTGCTTATGGTTCATTAGGTTATAGTAGTGTAGCACTCAACTGGTTTGTTGAGTGTTTATTACGTATTTCCTTCCGGGTACCGTTTCATTCGATTATAGTGCAAGTCAACGAACTGTTAAGAGTGGTACTGTGCCGTGTTTGACCTATTATATATATAGTATTCTACCTTCTTTATAAACAGATGAATTTTGTAGAATTAGAAACTGCAGAAGTTATTATCGACCGGATCATATTACTTTTTAAAGATTAAATTATAAGAATGAAATAATTATTGCAAGTATAAATCAAATACCATATGATATAAAGAAATAAGCTGAACAATGAAATGTTTTTGATTAATGATAAAATAATGATTAAATAATACTTATGGTGTATTGTTATTCATATTTATAAAGAATCATTAAATACTTTATATTCCATAACAAGTTTATATTAAAATTTACTCGATATTTAGCATGATGCAGATGTTCAAGTACGTAATTTGGGAGAGTAGCTATTTAAAGCTACACGACATATTCAGACAGATATATTCAATTACACTCGGTAGTTTTAAATAACAGTTAAGTAAAATCTTGCTGTGTGTGGAAGAAAGAAAAGGTTCGAAAAACAGATTTTTCAAGTGGTATGTGCATTACGTGTTCTGTTACAGTGGTCTGATTATTAGCAATTAGAATGAATAAACAATCTTTAGGAAAAGAGAATACAATAAATTAATATTAACTTTTTTTTCACACGTAGATCAGGATGTACTAAGTAGTCGTGTTATGATTTTTCGTCAAATATAACATACATTTATTCATGATTTCGTTACTTTTTTAGTTTACATTTTGTAGTACCATTGAATTTACATACGTTCGATCAACACCATGGCTGCAACAATTATAGCCATTGCTGTGTCTACACTATACATTATATTTACGAGTCTCATAGCTTATTGGATGAGAAGATATACCAACTATTATATACGGGATCCGTTTGTAAGGTCCCTATTTTTAGAAGGCATTGCAACCGGCGAACTTTGCGGAGTATGTTTCGAATTGATAATAAGTAAGTTTATTGGATACAATAAAATTGATCAATTACAAATAAAATCGCGTCGACGTTATTAATAAGAGATTGATACGAGCGATTTTTGTTGGATTAATTTAACAAATTGTATAAAATTCAAAACAAAATTTACATCACATTTTCTTTTAAATGTAGCTGCTACATTTAAGGTCTTTTTATTAACCGTTATTTATAATTATGATAATATTGTCACTGTCTGATTGTGAGAAAATTATATTTTTCCAATATAATTGTTTCATACCCATTATTTTAATCGTAATCTTAGTTGCGGACAACTGGGGTGTTTCTATGTATGGCGTATATTTATTTATATTGACGATATGGTGGTCCCTGAATTGGGAAGACGCTACTGCGTGCCCCTACACGCACATCGAAGACGTTGTTAACGGAACGAAGTCGGTGCGTGATGCTTTCCTTTTGATTTGGGCCGAACTAGTCGGCGGTCTTGCCGTGTTTAGATATGTTCAATTACTTTGGGCACTCGAAATCGTTTCGACGCACAAAAACAGAGCATTCGAGGATTGTACTACCGATTTACAAGTAAGTACATACAATGATGAATTACAAACTTTTCTTGTTTAAATAATTTCAAATAAGATAATTCTCTGGATTAGATAACATAAGAAAAAGATCTTTTTGCAATAAAAGATTAGAAAAGATTAGATTATAGGCTAATATAGTACTTCGATGTGTAAAAAAGTACGAGATTAAAAAAAAAATCACAGTTTCCATAAATTACTGCAAATATTCTTTATGCGAGTGTTTTTATTATCTTTAAGGTACCCGTAATATTTGGAGCATTTATCGAATGCGTGGCGACTTGTATATATAGGGTGGTTTCGCGTGGTTTGAGCGAGATAAATTCGAAGATCGGCATTATTATTGATTCTTTCATTGGAACAACTTTGGTTATCGCAGGTTTGCTCAATTTATTTTATGAGTTATATTATTAAACATTCTATTCCTTTTTTCCCATTCTTTCAGACGTATTCCTTCGTCTACCTTTTAATTTTTTGTTTAAATATTGAGGTTATATGCCGTATATAAAATTGATGTTGAAATGTCTATTATAAGTATCTAATAAATTTAATTTAACATCACAAAAAATAAAGGAAAGAAAAGGAAAATGGAAAGAAAAAAGGGAAGACGTTTGATAATCGAAAATTATTTAACGAACACAGCGATGAACGCAACAGCGTTTTATAATCCTTTGAGTCATTAAACTCTCATTTTTTATTACTGATAAAAAGTAAGAACGTAAATTCATGGCTTTTGGCTCCTTCGAAAACTATTAAAAACTTGCAAGAAATGTTTAAATAACATCCAATTCCTTCCACGTTTCGTTATATTCTCTCATAAATTTTTCTTTTGTTTCTCAGCTTTTCTATCGTGTTGCATGAAAAGTTCTTTACGACCTCAGCTGACTGCAATTCTTTTACCTTAATAGATCTTCGGTCTTAAACAAAAAAGTTTCAAACTTTCCACGAACTAAAAATTTCTTCGAGTCGTAAATATTAGATACTCTTTTGCATCGTGTAATAGCCATAAATTCGATTCTTACGTTTTCCTATGCAAATATAACCTCACGTTGATATTCGGCCTATATTTACGTTAATTTCAGCATTCAATTATTCCGGGGGCTACTTCAATCCCGCACTGGCGACCTCCTTGAAATACGGATGTTTGGGAACTTCTTTCATGGAGCACGTAATAGTCTACTGGATTGGTGCGTGCGCCGGTTCTATCGCTTCGTTACGTGTTTATAGGCTGCCGTTTGTTCAGCAGTATGTTGAACAGTATAAAGAGAAAACGTCTTAAGTCACTGACAAAGAGACACCGGGTCGTTGCTCGAGTTTGTTAGTTTTGTTTTTGCACGTTTCCGATCTTTGTTTGATTTAACTTCGTGTTTTCTGTCAGCCATGCCACTCTACAAAGTAGTATGTAAGTTTATAACACGATTGAACCTCTCAATTGTTACAAAAATCGCGTTTGCGCACAAACATTTTACCTTTTAGACAGTCGCTCGGTTAGTATATACGTTTGTAAGACAGAAACGTTGTGACATATTATAGGGTGATGATTGTGATACAATGATATGAGCTCAAATTAGTGTACAGTTATTTATTGCGGACGATATATATTTACATATACACACACATACGTATGTGTGGGTGCGTGTATATATAATGTATATAATTGTACAAAGAAATAAAAGTTTTCTGTGTAATTTTAGAATATTGTACTCTCAAGTGATTCAAGGCGCTGATATTGGTTTAAATTCTTATTTATTGAAACGTGATCTCACAAAAGTTTACCATAGTAACGTAGTACTTTAAAGGTGAATATTCACTAAAAATATGGAAAGTAAATATTAAGAATTTTACACTTTTCACTAACTTCGAGAAATATTATATGTTACAGAATAATGTAAATCATCTCGATATTTAATGGTGATGTTTAAACTTTATAAAAGAGTACCAAACGGATTACACACTTACGTATAAAGTACTATAAAAATAATTAAAAATACGATCGTATGAAACAGTATTTGAAAAGGACAAGGAAACTATCGAGTAGAATATGAAAACAATAATGAGGTATACCAAGGATACATAAGTAAAGTACATATTTTGAAGTAAAAAATCTCGGTTTCGTAATTTACACAAAGAATTCTGTTTTGGAAGACATGTCCAAATGAATTGCTTCGTTCTTGTACATTTCAATAGTCTGTAACAGAAATATACATTTTCTTTTCTCTCGAGTAAAGAACTTGTAATTATTGTATAACATTGTATAATATTAATTATTGCGAAAGCTAATGTAAAAGAAAAATCTACGACCTAAAAAAAGCTAAAGGAATTGTATTTGAAAGTAAAATTATGAAATTTTACCGCGTCGATATTTCCATCCAGCTCTGCAACTTGCTTCTCGTGAGAAGTTTTCAGCTTTTCCTTTTCACGTCCTTGTTTGATTTGCACGGTTTTCCTTTCTTGCATGAATTTTTTCGTGTTCTGTTCCTTCTTCTCGCGCAGTCTACGATCCTTGTCTCCTTTTGTCTTTAATGCTTTGTCGTTCATTACTTCTTTCGCCGTTTCCACGGATACTTTGGCCTGATTCGCGTTCATGTCTTTCATATCTCTGAAATCCGGTAGGAAGAGCGAATTCTTTATAAATTTACCTCTTTCACAAAGAAGAATATAATATCCCAAATTAATTAATACCGCGCTAAATATTACTTGCAATTAATTTCACGGTAAAATCTGAATACTTTATTTTTCTCTATCGAAATTACAAAATGGTGGAAGTTTGCTGAACTTTCACGCGAGTACTTCCATCTTTAGATTCTTCTGTCGGTAACTCCGATAATTAAACAAAAGAAAAATCATTTCCCAAAAACACCGAGGAAAATATAAGAATTTACTTTTAAAACTAGCAAACTAGATTTTCAATTTTTCAAACAGTTTGATATAGGGTACTTTTGTAAAAATTAATATTATCTTTTATGGAAGTAGAAATGTAGTTTTACAAGTCCTGACCCAATAATGATAGCAAAACCGAGAAGGAGGTAATTCTAGGTGAAAAAACAAATCGAAAATAAAGAATAAAATTTTTTCCTTGGAAGCTTCGTTGTCCGGAAAATCGATTTTGAATATCCATAGAGTGCGCTGGTATACTGATGGCCCCCCATCTAACAACTTAAGTGCACGCGTACTCGGTGAACATTCAAAGTCGATTTTCTCGATAACGAAGCTTCGAATGAAAAAATTTTATTCTTTATTTTCGATTTGTTTTTTCATGTTGATACATGATGCAATAAAATCAGCGTACTTGTCGTGTTTCGCTTGTAACTGTTTAACCTGCGAGGCCTGGACAATTTCGATTAATTTCTTGAACTCCTCCCGACCTGCTTCCGTGTGAGTCTTCAACATCTCCCATTCTTCTTTCCTCTGTCGTTCCACCATGGAGGACCACTGGGTGGTTTGCTCGCTTATAACCTTTTTCACGTTCGCGTCCTGGACCAGCGCACTTTTGCTGTAAACGCGAGATTCATCATTGTCAGCTGGGATTAGCTGCGCAATAACGACGTTAATCGCGATAATTCGGTAATTTCTGGTTAAAGGGAAACAACGTCTTAACGTTTCGAAGATTACGTACTCCTTTCCCTTCACTAATTTATCAATGGCGGCGCAATGATTCTTCTGCATTGTCTGCCGTTCTTTCAGATGCTTCTTCTTCATCGTGTCGTACTCCTTCTGCTGCTTCTTGCCAAGCTTGAACGCTTTTTCCTTTCGCAGAGTCTCTATCGTAATTGGTTCTGGCTTGTATTCCTCTGAAAATTGTGTAATTGAAGAATTATTCTTGGTTTTTATTCCTTTTAAAAATTGCACGCTGGAGTGGAAAATTATTTTTGCTTTTCGTTCCTCTTCAAAATTTTGTGAAAAATTATTTGCGTTTGTATTTCTATGAAAATTGTATACCTAAGTGGAATATTATGTTGAGTCCTTATTTCTATGAAAATTGTATACCTAAGTGGAATATTATTTTGAGTCTTTATTTCTATGAAAATTGTATACCTGAAATAATTTTTGCTTTTTGTTCTTCTTAAAAATTTAATGAAAAATTATTTGGCTTTGTATTTATATGAAAATTGTATACCTAAGTGGAATATTATTTTGAGTCTTTATTTCTATGGAAATTGTATACCTGAAATTATTTTTGCTTTTCGTTCCTCTTAAAAATTTAGTGAAAAATTATTTGCGTATGTATTTCTATGAAGATTGTATACCTGAAATTATTTTTGCTTTTCGTTCCTCTTAAAAATTTAATGAAAAATTATTTGGGTTTGTATTTCTATGAAGATTGTATACCTAAGTGGAATATTATTTTGAGTATTTATTTATATGAAAATTGTATACCTGAAATTATTTTTGTTTTTTTACCCCTCTTAGAGATTATATAATCGAATGAGGAACTATTTTCGATTTCATTCTTATTCCTCTGAAAATAATTTTAGAATTGCAGTATAAGTTTATAACGTGTTCTTAATGTGTCTAATTACCTCGACTAGTATCTCTTGAATGGGCCCAGAAATTAGTCAAAATTTATTTACGCTATTACACCCCCACGATTATTTTTGTATCCGATGAATATTAGATTTTATGGATTCTAAATTTCGAAAGAAGATATAAGGGGCTATAAAATGTCACTAAAACGAGTTACGTTCACGGTGTGTTATTCCTGCGTTTATTAATCTCTTATTCTTGAGATTGTTTGTGTTACTGGCGTAAGTAGTTGTACACAATGGAGCTTTTTACGATTCTTTGAAATACCTTTACTATGTCATTATATTCCCGGTTGAACGGGTTAAGTTGAAAATACAATTTGACGAAGTTATGCGAAAGACACGAAATTTTTGCATAATTGTTATTTTCGCGCGATAAAATGAAAATGGCGGGATAACATTATTTTCCACCGTTTATGTTGCGCATACGAACAAAATAAAATCGTTATCGAAAATATGTTCGGAGGAAGCGGGAATAAAAGACCGGTAACGGAATGATGCGATACATTAATACGATGAGAAGCGAGAAAAATGGAGAAAAAACAGGCGAGAAATAAATTTGTGCAACGAAACGTCATAACGAAACTGGAAAATATTTTCTCTGCAACTAATATATCTTAATATTGACCAATCTAAAAGGGAAAATATTATTCCCTATGAAGTGAACCGGAGAATATGTTACTGTAAATTCAAAAGCAATTATACTCGTGATATCGATTATTCTCTCTGAGATAGTTAAACAGAAGCAATGGTCGTCTAATCTGAACCACCATAAGGGAAGAAGATTGAACCAAACGAGAAATGAATCATAATAATTAACGTTAATCCAGTGTAATTGATATAATAATATATAATAATTCAATAACTCACATTTATTGACTAAAATTGAGAAACAAAGGAATAATTCGCGAATTTTTGTATTGATAATATTCCTTATGGGAAATGTGAAAATTAAAAATAGTTTTTATTGTCTTAAGATATAGCCTCTTCAACCTATTTTTAATTTTGATACGTATATTTCAAATATGTGCAATACAGGGTGTCCCAAGGAAACGTATACACACTTAATACCTAATTCTTTCTAATTTATTTTTTCTTTTCCAGGTACAACCCATTTAAAATGATGGCTGATTTTAAAGCAGACTTCGAAGTACGTAAATATATTTTTAAGTGCTACCATAAGTGTGAAAACATACTGGAAGTAATCCATTTAAATATAAACTGTGTATATATCTTTTCAGGACACCCTACATGAAAATCACAAATTATAATAAATTATGGCATATAGAGGACACTATAAAGAATATAGAATCTAAAATATATATTATATACAAAATAAAATTGCAAAGAATACACGCAAAAATTATGAACACAAGACATCACAAAAGGAATAATAAAAATAATATATCGTAAAGAAGATATACATAAATAATCCGCAAATGGTTGCCCTGTTTCTCAACGCTTGAAATGAATTATAAACGTATTTTAATATCTCATTGCAGCAAGTTCAAGGGAAAAACAAAAATCCGTTCATCGAGCACTCGTAGACGCTATTTCCATCGATAAACAATCCCGAGACAGCCCGCGAGATGGAAAAATACGAGTGGTGGACGTAAGATCTGCAAAGCGATTAAAATCTCAATAAATCCGAGAGCCCGTGCAAACAATTTAAGTCCAGGGGCGATTAAAAAAGTTTGCCCGCAACAGTTTTTAAATAACGGCACACAGGGCCGCCATTTGTCGCTTTGATCTTTATGAATGAAATTTACTCGAGCAGCTTATACCTCTTTTAGCCTTCTCCTCTTCTTTCTTCTTAGCCTCGGCCTTCGTGTCGGTCTGCTCGATCCCTAGCCCTTTCATGGTCTCTGCTTGTTTCTCGGCTCCTTTGCTGAATGCACCCGGGTCAGACAGGGCGGCCATGAAGTCTACGAGTGGAGGAACCAGGCTCGAATCACAGTCATCCTACACTTCTATTTTTGCGCCGCCAACTTGCTCGAGGTATTACCTTCGAATCCATCGGGTACGTAAATCTTCAGCTCGATGTTGCAGAACAACATCGGCAGCGCCATAGGGAAATTCGCCTCGGTCTTCAGCGAAATGTGTCTGTACCCGGCCTGGAGTCCATCTAGAGGCAGGATCCGTTGACCCAACAGCTTTCCACTCTCTTCGTACACGCCTATGTAAAGGATCACAGTGTCAGTTTAGACTGTCATTGAGGAGATAACACGTAAGCTAGACACGAGTGTTCGTTTTTCCTGTTTTAGTGGGGTGGTTAGGTTGAGAAATTAGGGGTGAGTATTCCTCGAAGGTTTATTCGATAATTTAATAATGTGGTATCATGAGCAGGGAAGGACTCTTACAAAGGAAATAGTATTAAGAGCAGTATCGGATTGAGCTTAGGCGTTTAGGGTATCATCTGGAGTGCATGCGTACGAACGGATGACCACGTGCAAGAATTGTATAGATGAGATATTTATGACCAGGTCGAGTGCAAGCAACGAACGAAAGTCTAGGAACGTGTCCGAGTGTCCGAAGCACCTGGCCCACCAAGGGCGAGGTCGCGTGGGAAACGAGTGATCAACGAAGAGAGCTTGCGTATGAAAGAGAGAGTGTTAGACTCTAAATAAGGGTGCAAGGGTGCCGGTGAGGCAGAATGCGCGTAGTCGAGACGCAGTGAGCAGAGAATCGTGTGTTTGAGAGTTAGAGTCGAGAGGAACCTAGTGCAATATTTTAGTCAAATAATCTGTTTTGTTATTAAAAAGGAGTCGTTGTTTATTAGACGCGTAGATCTTTGTCAGCATAGGATTAATCTAGCATTAATCCTGTAATAATATCAGGCGAAGTAAATGTGGTGGTGGAAGCAATCGAAACGATTTAGGGGTGTTGGAAATTACCGAATCTGAGCACAGCCAAGTCAGGTAGTACAACTTTTCGGAAGAGGAATGGTTCTTCGTTGTAGACAGGGTTCAAACCATTTCCGGGGACCATTCGCGTTCGAAATTCCTTTTTGATCGTGTCTGCTGGCAAACCGTACATGTCTACTTCCACGTAAGTGCCGACCTTTTTGTCGGACAAAAATTGCCCTGCTATCACCTGGGGAATAAAGTGTATCAACGATTAAATCGAATAAATTTTATAATAATGCGAATTACAGGGATAGGTATGAGAAAATTGGGTTGGTTAAAATATTAATCGAACAATATTGCAAATATCAGTAAGAATTATGTTATATTTATATCAGCACTCGTTAAAATTTATTTTCATCTTCAAATCGATATTTAGATTCCATCACTCATTGGTAAAATTTATTTTTAACACTACGACATTGCTATTTGTAGGAAAATTCAATTTTTGGATTACGAGTAAGTTGGATAACAAGTAAAATAAATCACCGTTAAGAGACAGCCTAGTAACGAAATAAATTATTAATTCAAAATTTATTTTCACAGGTAGAACTCACTTGGACGGAACACTGGGCTGTGATAACACCATCCACGTCCTCAGAGAACGGATCGAAGGTCTTGTCTGACCTCCTCATGAAATCAGGTTTCAGCAAATATCCAGTGGTCGCGTTGTACTCGAATTTTCCTTGATTAAGCTGCATAGGCAGATCGGGTGTTTGGAAATTCAACGCTACCATTTGGCAACCTGCGTTCCAGAAGACCTGAACAGGTATTCGTGCATTAATTGAGATAAATTTCAGTGAATTTAAATCGAGCAACTCACCTGTGGCATGTAATTGGACGAATCAGCCCTTGTACCTTTCGGATAGATTCGACTCATTTGACGTTTGTTGTAATTAACGAATTCTACAGCATTCGTTTTCAGGTAATTCAGCGCCGCCGTCTCCGAAAACGAGGACATATTGTGGTGTATGTTCTTCTCTGCAATAACAATGGCGTTCACATTTTTCTATAATAAACGTCGGTATATTATTACCTTAATATACATCAATGTGTCATTAACCCGTCATTTTTAACTCTTTGCACTTGAAAGGCGATACACAGTCGCCAATTACTCGGATTCAAAAGATCGATGTTAATTAATATATCAAATTTAACCCTTATCGGTCGTAAGTCGCCTATCACGTGACAACAGTACTTTGTTGCTGCGGTCGCGCGTCACGTGATAAGTGTCATGGCGGAAATTTTTCGCATATTTACCGAGACCAACTACAACCTAGCGAGAATCACGTATAAAATGGGGGCAGTGTCCAATGAGGGTTAAAATTACCCAACGATGCGTGGAATGTCGAAGTAAAATAATTCTACGTCTCACTTTGCATACGATTTCTTATTTACCTTATTTATTTCGTATTTCGTATTTACCTTATTTACCGTTTTAAAAATATCGTCCACTTTATGGCAGAAAGTCTTCGAATTACTATTTCTCTGTTACGAAAAGATCGCCGAGTGCAAAGGGTTAAATCGATTTAAAATATCATTGTCCACCCAAAAGGAAATAAAAGGATTATTAAAAAAATCTAGTATCTCGTATTTCAGGTCCTGGCTTCAAGAACGTTATCCCAACGACGATTTATATTCCTCAAATTAATTATTAGTTAACTAGGTATGAATAATATTAATATTTTACATAAATTAAATATTGTAAAACTACTAGTTCCATTTATATAGAAGAAAGGTTATTTAAATTTAGTTTTATAAGGAATATATTATTATAGAAATATAAAGACACCGAAGCAAAGAAATAGAGATACAGGCGAATAGAATAGAAAATGGAAGGAATCAATAGCGAACTTATTTATACCCCGAGGGTGATGTCGAAGAGGATAGTGAACGTTAGAAGGAATATCGTACTTTATCAAAAGACCGAGGCATAATGCTCGTATGCTAGTACGAAGAGAAAGAAAGCACACTTTACATACTCTCCGCAGTTTCAAAGCTTTGAAATTTCACTGGCTGTGCATAATTAATCATCGAGGAAAGCCAAGGATGGCACGCCATCGTACTGCCGGTGTATTGAACTGGAGGAGCTTCTCCTTCAGCGCCACCTTCGCCTGGTGGAGCACCCTCGGCTGGCGCGGCCTCTGGCGGTGGTTCCTCCTAAAACGTCGTCAAGATTTCTTTCTTACGAAGTAAGTAACATGTAACGCAACTATGTAAGCTTCTAAAAAGATTGCGATATATGCGTTGTAATTATTTATCAGGTACAATGCCCGAGAAGATACACGCAATACGTGTGCACGCACTAGCAGGACGAGCATTGTCTGAAATATATTACTCCGAATAACGAGTTACAGCGTTCAAGGCATTTCACAAATGGCGGATAACTGAGAAATAAGATAGTAATAATAACATTATGCTCTAAACATACGACTCCAAAAAGGTATTGTACTATTATAAACAATATAAAACACGTTTTATCTGCTTAATAATATTGAAATTCGTATAAATAACAAGCAATAATATAGAAAGTTTGGCAAATTACAGATAAATCTGGATTATTGCGTCAGGTGTTAGAGCAACATCATAGGAACAAATAGTTTCATTATTTTTATCGATATTTAGATTTTTTTTCTAAATAAAGTTATAGCTATATAGATAGAAAATTATTGATAGAAAATTAATATTCTCAAATTCATTGCGAAGCTACACGAATGAAGCAATAATATACAAAGTATGACAAATTACAGATAAATCCGGATAAATCTGGATTGCGTCAGGTATTAGGGCATCATAGGAACAAATATTGTAGTTCCATTATTTTGATCGATATTCAGATTTTTCTTCTATATAAAGTTATACCTATATAGATAGAAAATTATTGACAGGAAAAAATCAAAAATCAGAAATAAAGCTATATAGACAGAAAATTATTGATAGAAAATTAATATTCTCAAATTCATTGCGAAGCTACACGAATAAAATAATATTACATAGCACACTCCCTGTATATTAACTCGAAATTTATTTCGAAATTACAGGGGCAATTCTCACACGATCTATTATAATTAGAATATCGAAAATACCGATGAAAATATTCGAAGAACTACAAATTATGTACCGAAATATTTATTAAAGGCATTTCAATTTCGTATCAGGCCCAACTCGCGGAATTATTCACAAATTACCACGAGTTAGGTTTATCGATATGTTAATTGCATTAATAATGAAAATCTAAATATTCGTGGGTAAAAATAGAAAAAGAAATTCTACGAAAGTGAACAAATTCGAAGGATGAACATAATCATAGAGTGAACCTTCGGCGGTTCCGGTGGTGGTCCTGCAGGCGCGCTGGCGTCCTCGACCACTTCGTCCTTCGCCTCGAATTGCCCAGAGCGGAATAACTCTAGCTCGACCTTCTCCACCTCCGGCTTCAGTCTTTTATTCTTGATTAATATCTTTCGCTTCAGCGCGCTCGGCGGCGGCAGTGGATGTCCGGGTTCAAGCTGCGCCATTTTATTTACGATTACAAAATAAACGTATTTCTCGGGGGACGTTCGTTCGTGCGATAAGCACACTTCTCATTTTTCCCATTTGATCCGTTCGCATCGGCCGAACTCGTATTTTTTACCTCGCGCTTTTTTAAATTTACAAAATCCTTCCTCCATCATTCGCCCTCCCCTTCCTCCCCGGGGAAAAATGCGAGCCTCCAGCACGAAACCCCGGTCAAACGAAATATTCCCGCCAGTCGCCATTTCTCAACGCCCACGCACCTCTAAGTAATCACTCGACTATTTTTCTTTTTATTTGGGAACTAGCGCGTTCGTTTCGAGATATTCCTGCTCGATATAAATTAGAAACGCTGTTATATTAGTTAGGTTAGTTAACGTGGAATTATTCGTTCTCGATGTGTAATTTTAATTTTGATCGATGATTAATTTTGCTAGTACTATTGGAAGAGTATGCGAGCTCTGGTTACCGATAAGGTGGCGTGAGTGACGAAATTCGAAACGAAATGGGGAAGCTTGATCTTCGCGACGGATCGACAAAGAAGGCCCACCGTTAATGAAAGATACTTAACGAAAGATTATCCGAACTTTGGGAATTTTCGATGATTTTCAATAATTACAGGGACAGCGTTGCTATGAACAAAAATCGTGTTTAAGTAGAAATGAACACTGGTAGTTTTGAATGACTGTCGCAGCACGGCTGGGTCCCACGGTACGGTTAGGTTATATTAGGTTAGGTTAGGTTTACTCAGTCCAAGGCGCTCCATTTTCGCGGTAGGGTCGCCATCGTGGGGGTTTTAGCGGGTTAAAATCCCACATAACCCCGCCTCTTCCCCTAAGGGGGTAGGGCATCTTTTGGAGATTTTCCCCACGTAAAAAGAAAAAAGAAAAGGTTAGGTTTACTCAAAACCACTCCGTCCGCAAAGGGTTAACGTGTTAAATAAGTCTGCTACTCGATGGCCGATTGTACTTTACTCCGTTGGATACAATATTCTTTCGTTCTTATCACACTGCACTCGTCTCTCACGTAAAACTCTACCCGTTTTGCTTACCGTTCCGTTCAGGCCCAAACTCGGTCGTCAAGTGAGCCACCGGTGGCCCATAAAACTTAGAAATACTGAGTTCCTGAGATCCTGTTATAACAGGAATTCCCAAACGTTAGATCCAAAGATGGCGAAGAATTTAACACCAAAAGTTAGCACCTTTTGGTCCTAGCCTAGGCTGGGCCCGAACGGAAAGTCTAGCATCGGTCCCTGGTCGGAGACCGGCGTGGCACTTAACGTGTTAAGTGTAACTGTAATTGCTAATTTATTTCTATTTGTTGCCTACCGGGTAATCTTTCAGGGGCTCCTTCAGCAGCAAGTCGCCCAATATTTCGTCGCAGTATTTGGCTAATTTGTATTGCTGTTTCAGGCAGCAGTGATTCTCGAAACTTAGAATTATAGGGTACTCCGAAGTGACGAATGCAGTGTCCCTTAGAGCGTATATGACATCTTTGAAAAGGATATCGGTGCACATAGCCTTGCCGTGAGTTATGATGGGCTCCTCGTCTTCGCCTTTTCCGTCCCAGCAATCCAGCTCCACGCATCTGATGAACGATGAACGTTACCCGCCATTTTGTCGTTTTCACCACTTCGATAACTCTATCAATTACTACGAATTTCAGTAGCTCGTATAAAACACACTGTGATTACTATCAATTGTAACAGATATATATAAAACTTGTAAGTAGCAGGTTGTAAATGAAAATGTGAATTATTGGGATTTTTTGAGAAATAATAATTTTTAATATTGAATAAAATATCTTACCATTTTTCAGATATCCTTAACAATAATTAAAATGGTAATCCTTTTGGAAGAATTTTTCATAGAAAATGAGATAATTAGTGCTGGCTTAATTACACTGTTCAACACATTTCTACTTTTTCTCTGATCCGTAACATCCATTAGGTGGTTTTTGGAGAGTTTACTTGCCTGGACACGGGTACCTAATCGAAATTAACCTATCATCCTCGGTTTTCGAGAAATATGAGTTTTTCCAAAAATGCACGATTTTTGGTGAAAATGAAATATTGAGTAAAATGTGGAAACGATAGGGGTTCATTCCAGTTTTAAAAGTTAGGTGAGAGTATCCCGGGTTTATCAATGTTCATAATTGTAATTGTTAATGTTTCTGAATAATTATAATTGGTTACCAAAATTTAAAAATAAGCCGCCAATTTTTTTAAATCACTTATAGTTTAAAACAGTTTCGATATTCGATACATAACTTTTTCATATAAA